AAACTTGTTCTTTTCTCACCTGAAATGCAAATTTAACTGGGCACCTTGTATTTTTGTTTGCTAAATCTTTGCAACGTTTAGGGAATAAAATCTTCATCTGAAATGCTTTGAATTAGTCTTGGAATCTGGTATTGGGGAAAAAATCACCCTAAGTAACTCTACTCTTCCACCTTCTCCCCAAAATACAAATGCACACACATGCTCAAGTGCATACAATCTTATTCCCTAAATCCTTTTTTAATTTTAGGATTTTTTTATTTATTAATTTTTGAGGTAACGTTTACACCCAGTAAAATGCACAGATCTTAAATGTCTATTTTGATGAATTTTGACAAACGTGTACCCCTGTGAAACGTCCGCCCTAATCAATATATAGAATATGTCAATAACCCCCAGAATGTTCCTTTGTGCCTGTTTCCAGTTCCCTTTCTCACGCCAGAGACAACCACCAGATTAGTGTCGCTTGTTCTTGAGCTTCACATAAATGAGACGACGCAGTCAAGCACCCTTTAATGCCTGGCTTCTTTCTCTCAACATGACGCTTTCAGGATTCGCTCAGATGGTTGCATATCTCAGTAGTTCATTCTTTTGTTTACTAAGGAGCAGGAGCCCACTGAGTAGATACACAACAATTTGTTTATCTAGCTCCCTGTCAATGAACATCTGGGCTGTTTCCACTTTGGAGCTACTGTAAATAAAGTTACTATGAACATTGTATACAGATCTTTTTTGTGAGCCTATGTTTTTATTTCTCTTGTATTGGTTTCCCAGGGCTGCAGCAGCAAATTGCCACAAACTGGATGGCTGAAAACAATAGACATTTATTCTCGCACAGTCCAAGAGGCCAGAAATCTGAATCAAGGTGTCAGCAGGGTCGGTTCCTCCTGGAGGCTGGAAGGGAGAATCTATTCTAGCTTCTGGAGGCTGACAGCAATGCGAGGCATTCCTTAGCTTGTAGCTGTATCACTCCAGTCTCTGTTTTTGTCTTCACTTTACCTTCTTCCCTGTCATTAATCATACGTGGCTTGAGGGACAGTTGGAGTGGATGGTGGGTAGATAAACAGGGAAATGGGGTAACCTAACTGGCTGGAATGAATATCTCTGTATTCATTCAGACAATTCCTGCCTCTACCCTTAATGTATAGGTTTTCTGCAGGCTGGGCCTTACCACCCCTAGGCTGGGCTGGGATCACTGAGCAAAGAAAGGAAAGAAAGCAGACACCAATGCTTACAGACATGAAGCTGATGTCCCTGACCTTCCTCCCATGGTTCACGCCCTCTGTACATCCACCCTAAACATCCAACCTTTCCAAACTCTTGGAGTTTTGTCCAGTCCCAGATTCTAGACAGCCTCTTGCCTGCAAGTCCTCTGGAAAGGAAATATTAAGCAAAAGCCAGCCTGTCTGGGCTTGGCTTTGCTGTAGAGAGCACAAAACGAGAGGAATTATGACATTCAGAAAAATACCCGCAGTGCTTGTCCCCTGGGCCTCTTTTATTTACAGCCTCTGTTATGTGATCTGTGCAGTTCTACCTTAGGTGCAATCACAGAACCAAAAGGACAGGAAGCATCAGCTGAAGAGGACTATTTCTCTTAGGCTCAGATATCATTCGAAATCCTGACTTTGAAGTTTAGAAAGCATCCTGACTGCCGCAGCGCTTTGAGTCTAGACTGCCCATCCCCTACCTGGTCTGCCTTCTTACAGTCACGAGAAACCCACTTCTGACTCCAGGGCTTCCATCCGCCTCAGGCACCCCCTGCATTTGCCTTTCCTTTCTCCCTGCCACGGACATCAGCTCCAGAGCTGAAAGGTCCCTAGGAACACTATCATCTGTTAAAGCAGCTTTCCTTTATTTGTGGCAGAGTCCATCAGGGTCTGAGAGTTTTCAGTGACAGGTTGTGGGGAACATTTCCACCTCAGATAAGTTCCTCCAGATCGGTCCCAGGCAAGGAAATAGCTGTCACTTTCTGAGAGGTAGGAGGTTTTACTTCTGAGCAGCTGTAAGATCTTTTTCTTCCCAATTGCTACTGAGGGTTCCTACGGCCCCACCTGGGATCCTCCAGATTCATTAGCTTTTGGGGGTGTGAATTGGGGGAGGCCCTACAGAAGAAAGGGGATTTTTTTTTAACACCCAGCAGAATACATAATTTGGGCAGTCCCAAGAAAAGAGAAAGGACAGGAGGACCTCATACTTACAAAGAAAGTTCACCCACCTGAAGCAGGGAGCAGCCCAAATCTCCCAGGGCAGGTGGGGCAGGCCAGCTGGAAAGTGGATGCAATTGTTCTCAGCTGGGGTGCCCTGGTCTCGGCTGGCCCCCACCCTGGCCACGAAGACCAGGCAACAGAGCAGTGCTGAGCTGGGCATAGTAAAGCTCTGCTTTCTTCTGCAAGTTGGCCTTATGGTTTGGTTTTGCAAGAGCAAGCCCCTGATGTGTAGACCTTCACCTACTGTGCCCCCTTTTATATTGTGGGTTCAGTGAGGCCTCTCATTCATAGCCACAGTCACAGACTTCCCATCAAGGGGTTTTCTCTGACTAACGCTCCTCCCTTCCTTAGACCTCTCCAACTTTGCATTCGTTGAAGTTTTAATTTTTTGCATCGTAAGCAAAAAGGAAGGTTAAAAAACGAACTTCTGCATTATGGCTATTTTTAGGACGAGCTACCTCTCTCTTTTAAAATAAATTTTCAGCTTCTCTTAATAAAAAAAAAAAGTTGATTTCCAGTGGATAGAGCATGTGCTCTTAACAACAAGGCTGCTGGTTTGATTCCCGCATAGGGTGGTGACTACGCTCACCCACAACTAAGATGGTAACACAGCACCTTGAGCTTAGAGGCCACGAGCTGCCAACGGACAGCCAGATGGCAACTGGCACCCTCCACAACTAAGATTGAAGAACAGCTTGGCTGGTCTCCCTCCCCAATTCCCCAACACTGTTCTCCCCCAATTCCACAATTGGAAAAAAAAGAAAAAAGAAGTCCAGAGGCAGGCAGTCTGAGGCTGGAACAACACTCCATACGTCATCCACAACCTGCTTTCTCTGCCTTCCTGCTCTCCTTTCCAT